TGTGGACAGAAGACGTCCTCCATCCCCATGGCTCTCAACATGGTCTTGAGGTCGTAGGTCTCTTCCACTTTGAATCGAGGGAGGCGCACATTTACATTAGTCATCTCCATGCTCCCTGGGCTGGTCCACTCCATTAACTTCTCAGCAGTGAGTTTGTCTTCAAGCTATAAAGATGGAAAAAAAAAAGAAAGAAACTGACTTGGTCGACTTTTGGAATCTGGCACACTTTAACAATGAATGGAATATGTGGGAAATTTTGAGTTTAGCAATAAATGCAATATACACAGTTGATCCAGTTTATTAGACATTATTCTAATAAGCAAAAACAGCAGGCCTGAACATATATGAAGACTTATTTGATTATATGTGTTCACATGTACAAACATGTATGTAAAAATGGAATTACATTACTTTGAACCAAACGAACTTATATCACTACTTCTTATGCCATCCGTCTACTGTATGTGTCATTTTGTAGACTTTTTATTTTCTTGCACACATTATTTATTACATACTGCAGTTATGGTACATGATCTATTTTTACTCTTAGTTCTTGCTTGTTATATTTTTAAACATTTCTCACATTGCTATCTATTTCTCTGGGTTTAATTGTTGCTTGTTGCCATCAAACTGATATTTAATGTGTATAGCTCTACTTAAATGATAATAAATTTAGCCTGTGTCAGGCTGTAAGCTAAACTATTTATAATGTGAGGATATACTTGGTTTGAACCCAGGGGCACATAAACATGGAGCTATATTGCAGCCCTTTTTATTTTTTATTTTGACACAGGGTCTCACTAAATTGCTGAGGGTCTCACTAAGTTGTTGAGGTTGGCCTCAAACTTGTCATCCTCCTGTCTTGGCCTCCTGAGTTGCTGCTTACAGGTGTGTGCCACTGAATCATCGGATTCAGTGACTGAGTCATTGTTCCTTGTTTTGAACTGTTTATTATTGGAGGCATCTTGGCCTCAAMGTTTTTGTCTTGTTTCAAATTAAACAGTTACCATGGGGGGAAAAATCAGGCATAGAGAAAAAACGGTCAATGTGAGTGATACCTCCTGCAGGCCATCTGCTTCATGGGGCAGCAGCAGGACCATGCTCAGGTCATTGCCTTTGTATGGTATTTCCAGGATCTTGGCCTGCACATCCTCCAGGAAGGCAAAATTAAAATGCCCGCTTTTGGCCATCATCTGCACAGATTTGCTCTCATTCTACAATAAATTAAGGAATCAAATAAATACTAAGTTAGACAAAAAGATAATATTAAATACTAAGTTAGACAAACACATCCCTCTCTTTTGGAGAAACTACTCAGGAAGTTTGAGAAATAAAGAGAGAAGTTACTATTTTTTTCAGGCATTCCTAACTCAACTTTTAAGAATAAAACAAAACAATATCTGCTTGTTCACGGCACT